TTCTTCCCCCCTGCGCGCAACCCTCCCTGGGCTTTGGGATGACGATACCTCAAGTCCGGAGCTGGGAAGGTGAGGTGCCACGTACCCGTCACGGGAGCTGTTTTCCTGTGTCACTGTCCCCTTTCAGCTGGATGACATGATACGGGCATGTTACGCGGGTGAGTGACCGGGTCACGGCCCCCCCAGAGAGATCAGGCCCCCAGCCAATCTCCCGGACACTTAGCCTCCTGGCGGGCCTCCAGGGGGTCTGAGGCGGGGCTGAAGGCTGCAGTCGGTCTACTGACGGGCCCGGCCGGCAGGATCCGTCGAGAAACAGGGGGGTCAAGGGAGGTTTTCTTCCCCCTGGGAGAAATGTCCTATGGGTTTTTGGATCTGCGATATAAAAAAGTCTTGTCTCGGTCACGTGATGTGTCACGTGACCGGTCAGGTGAGCCTGTCAGCCGGGTCACGGCCCCTGTCAGCCGGCTGACATGTCACGGGCCTGCTGACACGGTCCGCTGACCGGTCACGGCCGCCCGGAGAGATCAGGCCCCCGGCCAATCTCCGGACACTTAGCCTCCTGGCGGGCCTCCAGGGGGTCTGAGGCGGGGCTGAAGGCTGCAGTCGGTCTACTGACGGGCCCGGCCGGCAGGATCCGTCGAGAAACAGGGGGGTCAAGGGAGGTTTTCTTCCCCCTGGGAGAAATGTCCTATGGGTTTTTGGATCTGCGATATAAAAAAGTCTTGTCTCGGTCACGTGATGTGTCACGTGACCGGTCAGGTGAGCCTGTCAGCCGGGTCACGGCCCCTGTCAGCCGGCTGACATGTCACGGGCCTGCTGACACGGTCCGCTGACCGGTCACGGCCGCCCGGAGAGATCAGGCCCCCGGCCAATCTCCGGACACTTAGCCTCCTGGCGGGCCTCCAGGGGGTCTGAGGCGGGGCTGAAGGCTGCAGTCGGTCTACTGACGGGCCCGGCCGGCAGGATCCGTCGAGAAACAGGGGGGTCAAGGGAGGTTTTCTTCCCCCTGGGGTCAAGGGAGGTTTTCTTCCCCCTGGGAGAAATGTCCTATGGGATTTTGGGATCTGCGATATAAAAAAGTCTTGTCTCGGTCACGTGATGTGTCACGTGACCGGTCAGGTGAGCCTGTCAGCCGGGTCACGGCCCCTGTCAGCCGGCTGACATGTCACGGGCCTGCTGACACGGTCCGCTGACCGGTCACGGCCGCCCGGAGAGATCAGGCCCCCGGCCAATCTCCGGACACTTAGCCTCCTGGCGGGCCTCCAGGGGGTCTGAGGCGGGGCTGAAGGCTGCAGTCGGTCTACTGACGGGCCCGGCCGGCAGGATCCGTCGAGAAACAGGGGGGTCAAGGGAGGTTTTCTTCCCCCTGGGAGAAATGTCCTATGGGTTTTTGGATCTGCGATATAAAAAAGTCTTGTCTCGGTCACGTGATGTGTCACGTGACCGGTCAGGTGAGCCTGTCAGCCGGGTCACGGCCCCTGTCAGCCGGCTGACATGTCACGGGCCTGCTGACACGGTCCGCTGACCGGTCACGGCCGCCCGGAGAGATCAGGCCCCCGGCCATGAAGGAGTCTAGGAGCCACTCCGTAGGTATTTCATAGATTATGTGTAAGACAAATGGCCGTGCCGGAGCCGGTCCATGTCCACTCTCCTGCAGTAAGGCCTGATGATATGGTAGAGGTCGCTGGGAGTGCAGAGCCGGCTGTTTTCGCTGATCAGCCTCCAGAGCAGCTTCTTCCGCTGGATTGGGCTCTCGTCGATGAGTGCCCCGGCGAGGTCGTCGTTGTGCAGGCTGTTGCGCAGGGCTAGGACGAAAGCCTGGGAGCAGAAGACCTTCTTGACCTGCAGGGAGCTTTCGTTAGGGACGTCCTCAAAGAATCCGCTATCCGGGAGGACGGCCTTCATCGGTTGGTACAGCAGGTCGGCGAAATTGTACGGCACGCGGCGTTCAACCAGGTCGATGGCGTAATCGAAGAGCTTCGCGCTCTCTACAGGGTCGAGGCGAAGGTGCAGCCCCTCGTAGTCCCGGCTGTTGTAGGACTTTCGCATGTTCACCGACATGCTGAAGTGCTCCCCCATAAAGGTGGTGAGGATCGGAGAGATCAGGCCCCCGGCCAATCTCCGGACACTTAGCCTCCTGGCGGGCCTCCAGGGGGTCTGAGGCGGGGCTGAAGGCTGCAGTCGGTCTACTGACGGGCCCGGCCGGCAGGATCCGTCGAGAAACAGGGGGGTCAAGGGAGGTTTTCTTCCCCCTGGGAGAAATGTCCTATCGCATATGCAGAGATGCATCAACGCCCTCGCACAGAGCGGGTCGCTCCACAGGCTCATGCGCACCGCTGTCTCGGGGTTTGGACGGATTTGGTCCCCCGCGCCGGGGTTTTGAGCGCGCCTTTTTTCCATCCCTGCAATGACGTGGGCGCAACTTCTGCTGTAAAGTATTTAAGTGAATGTTGATTTGCCCTAAGGACCTCAGGATGGTTCCTGTATGGTTGAGGACACAAATAACCGATATCAAGACTGGTCTATTGTACTACCTGGTAAAAGACAAGGTTGATCAACTTGTCTCACATGCCTCCACGGTCGGCGGATACTTCCTACTCGGCAACGCTTTCATGCTAAGCCTCTACATTCACCCGACAAAGGTCATGTTCCTGATGCTCCTTTGGAAGCTCTTGATTGCTTTAATGACCCTAGCAATCAAATACAAATTCGAGTACATTATGCGGAGTTATTACGACTTGGCTATACCGGACATTGTTCCATACATAGCCATATTACAGATTCTGTACTACTCGCTGCTTCTGATGACGACGGACCTGAACAACAGCGGGAACGTTGATATCGTCATGTTCATAACGTTTGACCTGGTCGGATGGTACTTGTTGGGCATGGCCTACAATCATATAACATGCCTGATAAAGGTGGGTTCTGAGACGGGATACAACACCTTCTTTTTCTACAATCACTGCTGGGTTCACTTCACCTTGTTGATGTACTGCACATTGACGCTGATGGTGGGGTATACATTCCTGCACAAAACAGCTCGTGAGGCTGCCGAGATCGACTTGCTCATCGACGAATCGCAGCAATACTCCAGTTACTATCAGTCGAAACTGGATCAGATGTACAAGAAGATGGTGGTGTCTAAAAAATCTTCCAGCAATGACATTGACACGTTCGAGCAACTGAAGCAGAACATGTATTACTACGACAATCTGCGCCAGGGTATGATCGATGAGATAGTCACCAAGTATATCTCAATGTTCATCTATTCCATGGTGTACTCCTGCTTGTGCTTCAATGTCTTCATGGTATCCGTATCACAGACATACAACAAGATACCGTACATCCCAAATATTACAAACGATATGAGGGGCGAGATGCAATACACCGAGGACAAGCCTGCAAACAATTGCATCGGGAACCACGGGAACATCAACAAGGTGCGCCTATGGGAGGTAGCACCCTATCTTTCCGAGTACGTACTCTACTCTCGCCGCATCGTGACATACATCATCGTTGCGGTGAACTGCATCGTCTTGGCCTTGCTCAGCGATGACGACATGGTCATACAAAGCGTTCTCCCCCTCTTCAGCATCGGCGTGGTTTATTACCGCACCGCCAACGTGCGCACCGTCTCCAACACCATGGGTTGCTTCTTGAAGCCTGGCATCTATGACCCAAGTCTGGATGTAATCATCATGTCCCCAGCTATGCTCATCGCCCTGATGGCATTCTTCTATGCAAGCTGCGGATGGATCTTCAAGTAGTAGGTAGGATAGACCTTTCTGTTATAGATATTAAAAAACAAGAACACACATGCAAACCACTCCCACGCGAATGCAGCTATTTGAACCCTTCAGGTGTGGCCATCGTCATCAATGGCAAGTGCGGTGCTCCCGATGGAGGGCATGCTTTCTGGCATCAAGGCCGATGACAGGGTGGTGATCGAGAACGTGGTAGCGGTGATGCAGGGTCTTTCCAGGGACCTATGCTTCCACGACTACGAGGTCCGCACCTCCAAGGATGGCTTCGTCATCATCGCCAAGACCTCCGACAGCATCCTGAGCCTCTCGGACCTGCAGCTCATACGCGACGCAAACCCCGTCAGGGTTCAGAACGTTGGCGTCGTGCCCCTCGAGGGGAAGAGGATCGCCCTTCACGTCAAGGTCCTCAGCTCCACCGCCCCGGTGACCTTGACCGAGGTGGACATCGTGCGCGTCAAGAAGCGGAGGCATTGGGGATTCTTTTAGACCCGTGTATTTAACACTTAGAGGTCACAGCGTGTTACGATGTCGCGCAGTACGAAGATTTGGACGGCAAGGAGAGCAGCGAAGAAAAGGTATTGCACGTGCGATCCGAAGCCTGCCTCTTCTCAGAGGCCATCTACGCCATCCTCAAATGCAACGATCATTTATTAAGTCTTCGCGAGAAGAAGTAAAATAAAACCTAATCTCTATCCTTCCTTCCTCTTCGGCTCGCACCCGCGCCTTGCGCCCTGGAAGGCCGGTATGAGCCTCGCCCAAGGGCAGGGGCAGCGCCTCCAGGGCCTGAGATGTGGGGGCCAATGGCAGAACGGGCAGAAGACAGCGCCTTTCACCATTTTCCTCACCGCAAATTGGTACTGCATGGCTTGGGGAGAATCTCCCGACCACCAGCACCCAGTACCGATTGAAACATTTTATTGGCTCTCACACCACGACCCCGTTCTCCACCACGGTGAAGCCCATTCTCTCCAGCTCTCCCGAGCTCAGCCCCCGGAGGCACATCTTGATCATGTTCTCGACCTCCGTGATGCTCTTGCACTTGACGTGGAAGTAGCTCTTGAGGTGTGTCTCGATGGGGAGGAGCAGCTGAAGCTGGGGAATGCGGGGAAGCAGGATGATGTTGTTCATCGATATGCCCATGCGCATCAGGTATAGCGTCCCGATGATGAGCACGGTGCTCTTCAGACTTGAAAGCACGCTCTTGAACCTCTGACCCATCATGTTCAGGAAGCGGGTGATGCTGTGGGTGCAGCGCTCCGAGATGAGGGAGCGGAGGTCCTCCTGGAAGGTGTTGCTGCAGACCCTGATCTTGTTGGTGGCATACAGTATCTTCGTCATCACCTCGCAGAGGTTCGGGATCTTCCCCTGCACCTTCACCTCCCTCAACGCCTTCCACATCAGATGGCGGTGCTTCTGCTCCATACGCCCACGCTCCTGGTCGAAGCTCTGAAGGGCCGTGGAGGACATAAGGATCCATTCCACCTTATCCTTCACCTCCCGCATCTCGACAAGCAGCTTGACCTCCCTATCCATCGCCTCGGGCAGGTCCATGATCACCACGCTGTCCATGAACTCGTCCCTCGTGAACCTCTTCATCCTCACGCAGTTGCCCGTGATGAGACATACATGGCTGTCATTCTCCTCGGACACGGGGCAGGAGGATGCATCGCAGCGATGGATGGCACCGCACTCTCTGCAACCCGCAAGGTCGATATCGATGGTCTGCCAGTCGCACCGATGCCCCTTCAACCCCCGCGGGAGGAGGAACGGAGCGCTGACCCCCCTCCAACATCTCACCCTCTGATCACTGCAGTCTAAGCAGGGCCTGCACGCCTTGCATCTCGACACCCTTCCGTCCCGGCAGCGCTTGCAGACGAAGCACTCATCGCAACTCACTTGCATGCATCTCAAAGCACCGATGAGTCAGTGTCACCTTGAGCGCAGGGGATGGATCGATTTTTTTTGTTACACATGCCGAGATTTCGATGCGATATTTAAGTCAGTCGATGCTCTACTGGCACGGTTCATTTCCTACAATGATCACACGCAGTAAAACAAACGCAACCAGAAGGAATAAGATCAGAGATACGATGGTATCACAATACAAGCAACATATTCGGCATGAGAAGGAAGTCATCCGAAAGGTTGTCCGCTTCCATTCCAACATGAAGAGAGGCAAACCCACCCGTGAGCAGCTTATGCAGGTCGCGAGGAAGATCTACGGATGTCCTTGCGAACGTGGTCTTTTCCTGAACCGCATCTTCCTTGTCCATTACAATGACTACAAGATCCGGTCGCTGATGGGTCTAGATCGAAATCAGCCATATGAGTTGGTTTTCGCTGACTCCGCGGAGGAGTTGTACTCCTTGATCCTGTCTGTGCTTGATTAGGCATGAGATATTGGTCTTTGATTCTGTAAGCTTACAAATAAAAGCCACCATTCAATATTTAAGTCACCCGACTCTCTACCGGCACGGTTCATTTCTTCAAATGATCACACGCAGTCAAACAGACTCTACTACCAGGAATCAGGCCAGAGGTGAACAAATCTCTATTTACGAGAGACTTGCTCGTAGCACGAAGGAGGAATTGCGATGCATCATCGTCTTGCATCTGGACTTGAAGCACAACTGCAAACCCACTCGCAAGCAGCTGAATGAGGTTGCGAAGAGGATCCACGTCCTTCCTGCCAACCGTGCTAACTTCATTGCGCTCATCCGAGCTTATCTCAGCCTGCACCACAGCATCAAGAGGCTGAGGAGTCTGCATGGCCTCGAGCCATTCGAGTTCGTTGTCCCGACCACCGACGAGGAGTTGTACTCCTTGCTCCTGTCTATCTTTTATTAGGCATTGGACGTAGGCTCTGATTCTGTAAGGTTCTAAGTAAAGACCACCATTCAATAACTAGTCCGTGTGCGTCATGATCACGCTCTGGATCGCCAGCCTGATGACCTCATTGAAGAGGAAGAAGGGGAAGGTAGCGATGACGCTGAAGGCGTAGAACACGAGGAAGAGGATCATGATGAGGGGTATGATCCTCCAGATGTTCAGGGTGGCGCATGCCGACTGCGCCACGATCATATCCATGTTGTTGCCTTCCACAATCGCGGCCTTGACTGCGAGGTTCTTGTGCAGGGAGGTGAGCTTGTTGAGGACGGGGCGGCTGGTGACGAAGCTATCGACCGACCTGCAGAGACCCGTGGATACGAGGCAGGTCCACCAGGAGATTTCCGCCTCCCACGATACATAATCAAAGGGCTGCTGGGAGCAGGATAGGATGCAGGCCGCCCTCTCCGTGGAATTATGAGCGTTGGAAAGGCACCCCGGGCTTGCCTGCAGGCTGTCGGGGAACTGGATGGTGGCGGGGAAGAAGAAATTGAGGACATTGACAAGGTCCTCCAGTAGACAGGTCGGAATCATCGGGAAGCAAAGCGGGGAGACGCCAAAGGCATAATACACCACGATGGCCGGGTATGTGGTCCACAGCAGGGCTGTGATGTGGGGGATGCGGAAGGACGTCAGAACCAGTGACAGCCCCATCCATACCACCGCGATCACGAAGCCGGATACCAGCAGGGTGTAGTGGTGGCGAGTGCAGAGCATCACGGCCTGCCTGTCGCATTTGGATAGGTCGAGGATCTCGCCAGGCAATGCCCCGAACAGGTCATACAAGAACTGGCGATTGAAGGGCGTATTGTCGATCCACACGGTCGCCTGATACACGATCATGTTGAAGAAGTTCTGATTCGCCGGCTGCTTGAGCGGGGGGACGGGGCCGCGGTAGGGGAGGTTGCTGAAGGGCCAACTGCCCGACACGATAGCCCTGGGGGTGGCGGCAAGGGCATGCCCGTTGGTGTAGTAGAGCGAGGTGTTGGTGAACGCATCCTTGACCAGCACAACCGACCTCGACACATTACGTCATGATCTTGAAATTTGGTCCATTTCTTCCTGAACGGGGTTGTTCGCAAACACATCAAATTGTGGGGTGGGGTGGTCTACTACAGGTTTTAAAGTTGCTTTCTGGTACTGTTTACAAGTATGTAAAATTTCAAATCCAGTTTCAAATTGACTTCGAGTACTCCCCGGCTTCCCCTACACGCCCGACATGTCGCCATCTACACGCCGGCACGCAGTACCGAAGCGCCCTCCATGATGCATGGCGTCGGCGCATGCAAGAGCTGAAGCAACAGGCATTTGTGTTCTTCGTTCAAAGCAAACAAGTATCAAGTCTGACATGAAGAAATGGAGGTCTGAAGCAGGTGGTGAAGGAGTATGATTGCGTAGAGGTACGTCACACCTCGATTATCGCTTCTCATGGGATTGAAGGCTGAGAATGCTGGTTTGGCATGAATGAAAAACTTGAGATTGATGCAATCTTGGAGATGTTTGGAACAGGCAGCGTCTTCTTCTGAGTTAGAATGAAGCTGAACGATAGTTGTCAAGCCGCTTTAGTGCAAGCACCTCGAGATTTTCAAGATCTGCACTTCATGATTTGAATCATCTGTGGCGCCATGCAAGATGCCAGTCCGAATTCAAACGTCTTGAAGTTTTCATCATGATTTGCATCGCTACCTCATTATATTTTGACATTAGATAATGATGCTTCGCATGTGTAAAATGTTGGGATTACACTACAACCTTTCAGATGCATGTTCTTGTTCTAGACAAAGTAACATCAATAGAATATATTTCATTCATACATGTCGTACAATTGTCACAATTATGACTATGTACAAGTTAGACTCGTGTCTGGCTGTAGATTTATTCCAAACCGCAAGTTACACCTTCCGTCCTCTTTGGCTTTGAACTTCTTTCACCGACAGATTTATCATCTTAGCTGTGATGGGCTTGTTGCAATGGCTCTGCTTCCACTGCTCAGAGAAGTGCACTGATGCACAACGCCCGGCATTCAAGTCCAGCCTTCAACTATCAATACTTGAAAGCACGAGAGAAAACTCCTCGGCAATGGAATCGCATGAGAGAAGACTCTGAGAGAAGGAATGGCTAGTACAGCTCATGAGAGTTGTTTTCAAAAATCAACTGCAGTGCGACAGACAATTCTGGCGATCTCAATCATGATTCAGCTTTCAAGTGGCTGATGCGTTCGCTGGCAGAGAGCTAACCTTGTCTGGAGGCAGCTGATGTCTCATGCTTTCTTCATCTTTGTTTGCCTATTCGATTAGTTGCTTGTAAAGCTATATGTATGACCATCATGTGCACGATGCCAGGCTCAGTGCCCGGCATGGTGGAGTGTGGCTGCTTAACAAAGCCACAAGCACAAGAATGTAAAGAATTACATGGCGACGAGCATTGGCATGTAAGACGAATCTAACCAGCAAGGATGTGATGATTTGACTTTATTGAAGCTACCCTGTGAATGAAACAGTTGCACGCTATCACATGCATAGTACCATGCTAGAGTATGTGACGTGCAAGTTCCTCATTGCATGAAATGAATGTCACCAACAGAGAGAGAGTCACATACATCTGCATACAATGTGCAAGCATCATTGGTGACGCCACTTTCTTTGGCGTTCACCTGATTCAAATCCATCACAAACATAGAAAAGCAACAGCAAGTATCTTCAAATCTGCTTCACTTTCATCTCACGTAGCATTCTGGTACCAGGATGCTAGGGTGGCAACGCAACAAGGAGGATCGCATTTCCATCAAGTATTCGAAGGTTGCATCTCTCATCGCACCCTGATCCACTTTCCTCATGTTTTCCTTCTCAAAGTGTGAAAATCGCTTATATAACTAAGATACATCATCATCGAGGCGTCTCAGTGCAAACACAAGAAGGCAAGTGACATGCTTGTTGGGATAATGTAACCATGCAAATTTGAATCCTTGCCGCTCAAAACAGTATTTGATGCATATTTACACCATCACAAGATCAAGAAAGCAAACATCATCATTAACATACAGTTAAAACTATTCTCACCATGCTTCAAAGCTTCTTTGTATTCACAAGCAACTCAACGAACTCAGATTCAAATCTTCTCTTTCCTCTTGGAATCCAAGAGTGGTTCTCAACCATTATGGATAGGTTCAAAGAGAAGTTTTCTATTCATCCACATGACAGTACACATAGATTCGAAGTCTCTCACCATTCAAATTGGTTGTCGCGCGCGAGCAAGGGATCGGTTCGCCATCTCTTGCTTGGTCGAGGGAGGGGGGATTTGGGGAAAGTGAAGGAAAGGGGTGACCCCTACCCCCTTTTTCTATATTTCAAACTTGGAAAGCAGGGGGTGGAGGTGTCTTGTTTCCAATCACCTACCCTCGCATTCCCAAGAGAACCTGGGGTTAAAATGGGGGTACTCATGCATGTAAATTCAAACTAGCCGTTTGTTGGGTGCGGGGGGGTGGAACACAGTTCACCATCACCCTGAAATCGCCTTAAAAGCGTATTAGAACTGTACGAGGAGCTCGAGATCCGGTACTAACAGGCTCCAAGAACAGCCTCAATTTGCCTCGTCTACCCCCCTTGAAGGACCTCACAACCACAAACGGGGTAGTGCTACACCACCCGACATTTGATAGGGGAAAGGAGGGTAGTCTAAAGCAGATATGTGTGCTTCTGGACCCCGGACGGCAAGCTATGCCCCCCTCAGGACTAATTGGATCTGGCCCACTGGGCCAGCCTTTGTACCAGATGCATTATTGAGTAATTCAAGATCATGACGTAATGGAAGCTGGCATTGGAGCACCGTCCCGCCGAAGTCGTAGTTGATGGGCCATGCAAAGGGGCTGTTCACCCAGGCAGCATCGGTGGCCGTCCCCACGGATTGCTGGACGCCGTTGTTCAGGGCCGTGGAGCCCGTGAACCTCTGGACCTCCTTCATCTGTGTCTTCCAGGAGGTGAACTGCATGAGGTGGCGTAGGGTGACCCTCTCCTCCACCCCGCTGCCGTTGTACAGGAGCTCGGTGGCGAGGGGCGAGAGGCTCGTCATCGAGAGGAGCTTCCTGACCGACTCCCTGTTCCTCACCGCGAGGCTCAGGGTGTGGTTTGTCTCCGTGGCATTGAAGTGGCGGTGCGCGCCGTGGAGCAGGTTGAGCAGTATCAGCGTCATCTCACTGATATTGTGGCCGTTGATGAAGACGCCACCATCCGCGTCGACCTCGTAGTGCAGGCTGCCGTTGGCGTCGAGCCTCTTATGCACGGCAATGTCGAAATAGGCATCGGACAGAGCTGACACCCAGATGAAGTAGTACCGGTAAAGGCGGTTGAAGGTGGGAGTCCTGAAGATAAGGTCGACCGCCATCCTTGGCGAGTAGAGCAGGATAAGAAGGGACTCTGGTCTCTCTCCCACGGTTGCAATGAAGTCCGACCAGCTGACAAACATATTCGGTGGGATGTAGTCTAACATGCCGTGCTGGGAAACAACGTCGTAAGTGGCGGCAAAGCGGGTGACACAGCCCGCCATCACCCTTGTGCTCTTGTTGGTAGCAAGGAACTCATCCCATGCGTCCATGCATGCATCGTCATGGCTGAAGAACTCTGGCCCGTCGTCAATGCCGAGCAGTCGCCTACCGTAGGGCCCCTGACCACCCGACCCTGATATCCCGCTCACCCCCAAGGAGACCAGCATGGGGGAGTAGCTCAACGCCGAGCTGTAGACGCTGTAGCAGTACATATTGGCCGGGTCGGCGTTGTAGCAGGGTGTGGCCAGCAGGTTTTTGTAGCTGATCGTGTTGGTGGAGCTCGACGCGGCGCTGAACCCGCCCATGCTGCTGGTCACCTGCGCCATGCATAGCCCGGAGAGCTTATAGTTCACCGAATGCCCCACCTGCGACGCCGTGCAGGACTGCGGGGTGACCTTGGTAAGGAAGCAGGAGCAGGCGCCGTAGGTCTGACCCGGTTCTATCACGCACATAGGTGTTGATGCAGGTGGAGTTGGCCGGGCAGAGAGAAGCGTCCAAGCACTCGTTGACATCCTGGCAAGTCGAAGTGTTCAAAGAATAGACAAACCCAGGGCCGCACATCACACAGGTGCTGAAATTCCCGTCAAAGGTACCCTGCATGCATATGCATCCCTTTTTTTTTATTCATTCAAGGAGAAGTCCGAGTCGGATAGGGAGGAGGATTCGGCGTCGGATTCTACCGGCGAGTGGATCGGCGTGAAGGTCTTCCTTTTCTTCACTGGGGTATTTGGCACCTGCAGATCAACCTTGGTCGGCAGCGGGGACAGGATCCCGTCGAAGTCGTCCTCATCCTCGCTGCATTCTGCCTTTCTTGCAAGCTTGACGAATATGGTGTCCTCGTTGAGCGACTTGATGAGCCAGGGGGCGAGCTGCGGCGTGGTGGCCATGCGTGGTAGGTGGTGCGTGGGAATGGCCAGTGGCGGCCCTGTTTTTAAAAAAGGGTCCGGAGGGGGATTTGAATTCTTTTTTTTTTAAAAAAAAACGGTCGCGGGGCTCAACGGCAAGCGTAGGGGCAAGCAATGCCGGGCCGGCCTCAGATGAGTGCGTCGGATTTTGTATCAGAGCTGCGCGGCATCGTGTGTGCGACGAAGGATGTGGCGGTGGAGGAGGAGATTTGTGAGTCTACCTCATGCCTTAGCACATATGAGAACTTCAAGGATTACTGCTGCTCCCTCTTCATCAGAACGCAATGCCGCATTTCATAAATAGGTGTCGCCACTTACGGTATTTTTCCTCGCATTGGCCGATCTCATCCTCACCTTCACTGCTCGCATTGTCCGTTGCATGATGGACATCCTGCCTGGCCTCATCGACGGGGATTATCCCCGACCGTCCTCGCTTTGGGCAAAGAGGCATGTGTTCCACAGGCTAGACTTGAAGATAGGGTCTTCGAAGAGATCGGAATCTTGCTCTAGCTCGAAATTGTAGTAGGCCGCAACCATGCGGCTGACCACGGAGAGCTCGGGCTCGTCGTACACCCTTACCCTCTGACCGCTGCCGTAGTGGATGTTTAGCTTACGGTTGAGGTACGGCTTGGCCCTCATGAACACCTCCAGGTCCGTCAACCGGCTGTCACTCCCGATGGTGACCCTCTCTCCGTTGGAATGTGTAAAGTACATCTTGTGAGTCGCACGGGAGGCCTGGTCAAATAGGATCGCCGGGCTCGGGGCGCATAACCTTATTCGTTGGCGTGTGTTTTTTGTGGCTGGGGGTTGGCCCGTCGCTTTTTACTACTCAATGAAAAATTTTACAGCTTCCCGGGGAGGGTTGGCTTGGCCTGAGGGTTGGCCCGATGCTCATTACTACACGATCGAAAAATTTTACAGCTATTCTGCAGCGTCTGGCCCGTCGGGCAGGGTTGGCCTGACCCATCCTAAAAACTTTACAGCTACTCGGGTTGCAATTCCCGCCCACATGCAGGGTTTCAGGGATCTTTTTTGAATACTACGACGCGCTTGGTCTTGCGACCCTTGAATATCCCAAGCCATCGGTGCCATGGAGGAGATTCATAGGGATGATTCGCGGGACAGCCGCGTCTCTATGGCAGAATTCCTCCGCCTCTCGCAGCAATCCCATGACTCCATGGAATCGATGCCTGGGGTTATGCATCAACCGGTGGCTCCGAAGAAACGAGGACGGAAGAGGAATCTCCCAGGGGGAAGAAAACCTCCCTTGACCCCCCTGTTTCTCGACGGATCCTGCCGGCCGGGCCCGTCAGTAGACCGACTGCAGCCTTCAGCCCCGCCTCAGACCCCCTGGAGGCCCGCCAGGAGGCTAAGTGTCCGGAGATTGGCCGGGGGCCTGATGTCTCCGGGCGGCTGATGTCTCCGGGCGGCCGTGACCGGTAAACAATTTCTTGGGTTTTTTATGTTCACGCCGGCAGTTGTGCGAGGATTTCACCGGTTATGGAATTAGCATGTCCACATCAAGTGCGGACTCCCGATCTCAAAAGATGTTTGCTCATTACTCTTGTAACAGCTTTTCTCGCGAGCATCATGTTCGGATTCGTTTTCGAGACTCTTTGTTCATCGACTCGTTTGAGGAAATGTAGTTGTGATTTGGTCGGGACTCCCGCAAAGTCATCACAATGGTCAAACATCAACAAGGTTGATATAAGTTTGTTCGGAGAATTTCAAGGTGGAACATTACATGCTCCATTATTGCAAATGTTGTCTCGTCCAAGGAGTCGAACAGGAAATGGAAGTCTACTACACATGCGAAGTCAGAGTGGGGAGGATGAATTTGCTTATCGCAATTTTTTTTCCGCTTCAATCAAACATAAACGTCTTGCAGGGAATGGAACGTTTGTAGAACTCGGAGCTTTGGATGGTTTGACATTTTCCAATACTCATGCTTTTGAAAAGAGTTTTGGATGGCATGGCTTGCTCATCGAAGCCGATCCTTCTAATTTTGCAAAGCTCGTGAGCCATCGACCGAGTCAAATCTTAGTTCATGCTGCTGTTTGTTCAAATCTTTCGGTAGTTGATTATGTCACAAGCGGACATCCTGCAGTCAAAGGGATTTTGCAATTTATGTCCCCTCAGTTTCTCCGAGGGTGAGTCGAACTTCATTTTTCATTGTCAGTTATGAAAATTTGTTACAGATGGCATCGCACTTATCAGCTCACTAAGATTCTGTGTGTACCACTAGAATATGTGCTCAACATGTTTGCTATTGTCCATGTTGATATGCTATCTTTAGATGTTGAAGGCGGTGAGTTGGAGGTAAATATTTTCGTACATAGATAGGTGATCCTTACGATTGAATGCAGGTTTTGAAAACCATTGATTTCGAATCTCACACATTTTCGGTCATACTCGTAGAGGTTTGCTTGTTTCGTTATATTTTTCGCGACTCATTCAGTCTGGCCGCAGGCAGAAGGGCTGGATCGACAGAAGGAAAGGGAAGTCATTGCATTCCTTCAATCGCAAAAATATACTTACTACGGCAATTTTGTTAGAAGCAATTGGTTTTTCAATCCTAAATATATTCGACCAATTCGCTAAATTTTCCTATTACTCGCTCGTTTGCTGAGATTTGCTTCTCAATGTAGGTGACCCTGATAGCAAGCAAAACAATAAAAAGCAATTGCGCAATGTGCTTCAGGTTCTATATGGGGCATCCATCCGTCTGATTCATGAAGACGGCAGCTCCGCTAATCACAAACTTTAAAATCTCCTCCAAGTTTCCATCTCAGGACATGGAGAGCTTTCTTAGTCTTCATTTGGACTGATCTGATGTCTCCTTGTGTCATCAGTCTGAAAGAAAAATTCAAGAACGTGACGACCAGAACAAATATCTTGATGACTCTTGACATAGTTTTTTGTGCATGTCTCCTCACGTATCTTGAAAGTATGGTTGCACGTGGGCCAGCGGGTGATTTCCCTGATTCTTCGTTAGAAGAGACGCAGAAGCTGATTTGTAAGATGCGAGAGCTCAAACGAGGCAAGTGATGCTGGATCACTCAAAAATAGACGTGCAGCTTCGTAGATGTTTAATTGTTTTGCAGAATCCAGTTTCTGAATTGTTACTCAGCAGAGCGGACACTCATCCTGCCGAGGTGGCCCATTGAAAGGTTTTGCAGTCTTAATCGAGTGGCGCATTCGATACATGGCACCCTCCAAAAACCTTGTTGAACCACACGTACCGTTCAGATCATCTGGGAGGAACCAATGGCCCCAACGTTTTGCACGTGCTATTTTAGCCTCATTGCCCACGATCCAATTATTGTTGATCACCACAGGAAAACCATTACACTTCTTCCTCACTGACTCTCCATTGCCCCCCCTGCCTCCGTCATACCACTTGCCACTCAGATATTTGCATTCCGTCAACATTCTTGTGGTTATGTTGGAAAATCCAGCCTCTTTCTTTCGATTTTTCAGAAGGTTAACCATGACATGTTGCTCTCCTGCCATAGAAAGAGGATGATTGTAATCTAAGTTCACAACATTTTGTAATTGTTTGTCAAATTGAATACGTACTGCTTGCATCAATGCATGAACAGATTCGGAAGTAGTCAACCTCAGCCACCCAAAACCAAAATTGCCATCATCATTAAAACCCACAAGATCTTCTTCAGCATTCATGAGCTCATCATCTTCTAAAGGATTTCGAACCCACAAAGCATCTGGCTCAAAAAGGAGGATCGGAATTTTCAGTGCTGTGAGGTATTCAATTATGCGAACTCTTTGCTGGACCAACTGCCAGTAACCGAAAGTGTTGTAGTGAAAACCAGTGTGATTTAAATGAAGCTTGGAAGTCATACACAACCCAACGTTGTAAGACGACAATGCATTCGAGCTAAAATAGTCATCTACGATGATTACAGTCCTATTGTGTATACCGGAAAACAACAATGTATTGCACAGCCAATTTAATATCAAGGGTAAGAATGCTCGGGTTCCGAACATAACAAAAATGAAGGGCTGAGAAAGGCTCCGATCATTCAAGTCGACATTGCATGAAAGACCGACATCCTGGAACAATGGTAATTGTTTCACGATGCTGGCATTTTCAAATTTAGAAAGTTGTACCAAGTTTGTAGTCAGCGAATACGGTGCAAAGTATAAAAATTTCGTACCAATCGACCAGTAACACAACAGAACAAAACAAAGAAACACATTCACATTCCTCATAGCGTAAAAGAAGCAAACACTTCCACAGGGAATAAACAAAAGCAATGTTTAGCTCGCTCCAAATGTCATAATGGTGGATGCCTTGAGAGCTTCCGAGAATGTACACGAGGCATTCCTAAGACTAACATGGTCAGTAGTAGTGTAACGCAACGGGGATGTACGAGCCGTTTCCAGCCGACTCTGCACAACTCGAGTTCTCCATTGAAATTTACATATTTGCTAGCTGTTTGTCCCGGTGATACCCGCGATCGCCGGAGAGGCCCGGAATATGCCCAAAACGTATAAATACGTTCCAACCTTGCTCCATCTAGGGGGGATATGGTACCAAAATAACCCTCCCCGGGGGGGTCTGAAATTTTTCAAGTCTAGTTTATTATGGGGTAGTAGGCGTGTTCGGTACGCCAATTACAGGTGGAATGCTGGTACATCAAAAAATTGAGTAAATCAAATATGGGACCTCGGACCCAGAATTGCAAATTCAAAAGTTGGTGGAATACACCCACAATTTCCACCGACTATTGAAACGAGAGCTTTTCGAATTAATGTACCATGAAATTGTTGTACCAGAGGCAATTTAATGTACGATGAATAATTTGTACCAGAGGCCAATTTGATGTACCGCGAGCTTACAACGCGAATTTAATTTGAATTTCTTGTATCCCAAGATGTAGGGCGCCTCCAAAAAAAGCTTAGGATTCTCTTTTTTGGTAAAATTTGAAAAAAGTGCCCTAAAATCCCAATTTGTTGTCTATTTATGTTTTAGAGCGCTGGCATCGGGGGATAAAATGATTAATAGGGACCGGTCCTTCAATTGTCCTTTTACATACTGACGCCCTTGAAAACTGCGATATGACGTACTAATTTTCAGTACGACCGGTACACAAGGGAAAGAAAAACACAGTGATAGAGGATCGCACAAGTAGGAAGGAAGGGGGGTGGGGGGTGATACATGCCTGTAATCCCATGGGGTGGGTCAATTGATACCCCATCTAAAACCCACTGCAGAAGGGGTGAAGGTAACGTTTACATTTTGAAAGTACCGGTGCTACAATGCAAACTACCACAGTGGTACAACCAAGTGGTACAACCAAGAGCACCACAAGCATTCCATCGTCGCCTTCCAGCTTATTTCATCCTTCATCATCCGGTATGCACTCATTTCTCGCTGTTTGCCAAGCAATCCCTTCCATCTTACACCAGTCTTCAGGATTGGGCCTGGTCACATTGCAGGATTGGGGCAAAACATCGCGATATATCATCGGAACTGAAAACACGCAGCATCAACATAGGGTGACATGGCGACTGAAAATGGCAGCACATGCTTATTTGGACCTGATTGTCAGTTGCGGGAAAGAGATGATGCACAGTTGAAGGTATGTCGAAGTTGCCAAAAAAAATTCCATATTCTATGTGCCTTTCAACGTGCTAATAGCGATCAAGGGGACTATTGCGGAACATGTCAGAGAGGCGGCAAGAGACTTGGGGTGGGTGGCAGGCCACGTAAACGGACGCGGGAAGGAGATGAGTTTGACATACTGTCCGTTTTCAATGATCCCGACGCACCGATGGCAACGAACAGTGACAGCAACGTGCAAGCATTCAGGAACTTAGAATCGCACAGGGTCAGCATCAGCACGCAGAAAACCTACGCATATCGCATATTTGCAATGATACTTTTCTTCAAATCCTTTCCAGCTTATCATTGCGCTTTGACTGAGTCTTTGGATAATTTGAAGGTACCACTTCCATATGAACCGCTTCTCGCTTTTTTCGGATATTTGTCTGGAAACGACCAGTTGGCCCGAGCAAGGAAGAGACCACGAGGTCAAACTGGCAACAATGATAGTAACGCATCAATAGCATTGGAAGAAGCTTCATCGTCTATGCACATCAACCAAGACATCGGAGAGGATGATGGACAAGAGGAAGATGAGGTTGCGGAGGTCCCGGAGGTCCCGGAGGTCCCGGAGGTCCCGGAGGTCCCGGAGAATGGCGAAGGATCTGCTTCTACAAAAGCATCAGAGAAAGCAACCGTTGCGGTGTCCACCATCCTTTGAAATATCTGTACAAGCGAAGGAAAGTACCCTTCACAGCGACGGGGATACCAAAAGATGTTTCATTGGACCTTGAATTGGAGGACAGTATGCATTCATACAAGAAGGTGGTCGCACAAAAGAAGAGCAAAGGGATAATGTCCATGGAAGAAGGTCGAACTGCTATCAACATGCAGCAGTATCGAATGTTGTGCAACTTTGTGAGACATATCAAACCTCGCAGGGGAAGCACAGAACCCGGGGACTCATGGCTTTTCGGTTGGCTATGCACCAACCTCATGTGGAACCTGGTATGTCGGAGTGAATCACTGGACATCCTTCATTTGGAACACCTGTCGTGGGAAGAAGACGCCATGAAAGTAGTGTTGCTTCGAACTAAAACGGACCAAGCAGGCATAGGCACGGATTTGAAGAGCACTCGTGTGAAACATGTTTTTGCGGCTCCGCACAGCCCTGAAATTTGCCCGATCCTCATTCTTGGGCTTTACACCTTTGCATGCAGGGGGATTTGCTTGTCAGAGCAAGGCAGCAAATTGTTTATTGGGAGGGACCAACGACATCGATTTCAACAGCTTTTGCAAAGGGTTCTACGCGAGGAACAACCTGACAACTTTGGAATTCCTGGCACGCACTCGTTAAGAAAGGGTGGTATTTCCCACCTTCTAGGGATGCTGGATGGCCCAGGTTTGATGTTTTATCAATCTGGAATGACTGCTGATTTTAACACGTTCAGGAGCACCCACAGTGTACATAAGAGCCAACTGGAAGATAGGTATGGCATGTAGGGATTTGGACTTCACTTCATGATACTATTATGTTTAGGAGATACACAGGATCGATACATTCTTGGTGGGACGGGAGGAGATCAGTTCGCGGGAAGAATACTGGCAGGGAACGATAGCACCACGGCCAATTTTGGGGTTTTGCCTCCGCATTTCACACAGGAAGGGTTGAGACAGGTGAAAGAGATAGGGTGGGAGCGTTTTGTCGATGGATACGAGCAATTCCCGAACGGTTTTAAGAAATGTACCGAATTCTTCCTTGCGAGCATTCTGTATCATCTCCCTACCTTACAAGGATGGTATCCTGACAATGATCATTTCATATGGGGCATGCCTATGTTTGGTATATTTGGTGCGGACACGATGAGAAGACTCATGTTGCTTCGAAAAGAGGTTGTCGTACCCGTGCACAGATGTACAGAATGTGGGATGACCGCCAGTGGAACCCCGTCCAAGACTGACATCTTGAGAGAACTGGGAGAAATCAGGCAGGAGATTAGGGCGCATTTCACCGGTTCAGCACTTCCATTCACAGTCGTTCGAAGCACAGAAGGAGGCGAGACGGTGGCAGGGCAGGCACAGGAATTATTCTTGTCAAACAGCAGCAATGCTACAACTTCCAGTGGACAGTGCAGTGCAACTAACAGACCAATGATGCAGGGAATTGAGACAGATGCAGGCATGGGCAGTGGTGGTGTATTCGGCCAATTGATGGCGGGATTCCAAGGTATCGTCAAGAAGATGGCGGAATTCGAAGGTATGGTCAAGAACGTGGTTGAGGCGCAGAATCAGAAGCAAACGGAGAGTATCAAAGAGTTGATACGGGCAGAGGTGATGCAGATTCTGGGCAGATTAAACATCCCCGCGATACAAGATGACCGAGTGGCCGGCCGCAATGATTCGAGGGAGATGATGGAGGAAGAACTGGATTCTCCAGCAGATGGACAAGGATCTGAGGAAGAAGTGAACTCGAACCAATCCGCTCGCAGTGGGCAGGGAGTGCTACGTGCGAGCAGTGAATTGGAGGTAGGGGGAGACGATTTCGAGTGGGAAGGGGAAATGGATGGACGTGCTAAGCACATGGTTCCAAGCAACTTTACCTTCCCTTTGCGGGTGCCGACGAGGAGCATGTTCATGTGGTGGAATATTGGACAGGACATAATTGATGACACAGGTCAAGTGCGGAGGATCCGGCCATTCAAGTACCTTGGACTTGCACGGTACCGGGACGACATAACAGACTACAACACAAGGAGGAACATCAACAAAGCGAGGGTGGTCATGAATGAAGTGGAGAGGATTTGCCGGGAACGGGGGGTGCTTGCACAAGGAGAAGAGATTATGCCACAGAACTTGATGCAATGTTACAGAACAGGATTTCGTGAAGTGGTTGAGACAGTTTATGGGAAAGACGCATGGGTGGACCTTGGCACGCGGAAACGGTTTTGTTCATATTCGTACATTCTTTACTACAAGAATCTGGGAATTATATGGAGAAGCAATCGGAGTGAAGGCGCTGCACCAACAGCTGAACAGATTGTTGCAGACCCATCAGCAGATGATGATGATGTGACAGGTGGTCGCGGTGAGGAGACACAGGCTGATGAACCTGCTGTGACTGACAGCACAGCCGGGAGCTATGCGGCGATGTTAAAGAGAAACTTGCCAGGGAACTGAGCGGAACTGAAGCTTGGTATAAAATAAAGATGCCAAAAGAGACGCGGACAAGAGAGGTTGGGATAGGTGGATGGAAAGAAGTCGCAAGCATAGTCTGTGAGGAGTGGGAGGGAAGGCTCGCAAGAAACCATCATGAATGCCAAGGAAGGAGGGAGGGAGGGAAGAGTAAGAGAGATGAAACCTACCA